CTCTTTTAGAGCTTGCCAATCTTCCCCAACACTAGTGTTATCGATTTCAATCCTAAAACTGGTGAGTTTCTTGCTGAAATATGTTGGGAGGGCTTCATGGTATCTAGGGGTGTGAGTTTCTCAGGCATTTGATGATGTATTCTCTTTGGACTGATTTGGGTTGCTTTTGATGTTTCAACACAGCCCTGATGGACATGATTGATCTCACTAAATTATAATTGGTCCAGCAGTCATTGGCTCCTGACACATGTGAAATGGACATCTTTTAGATCACATGCTTTTACACTGATGTAGGCAAGGAGGTGCCATTGCTTTGAGTGGGGATGTTGCCATGTTGTTTTGTACCTGTCATATTGTCTGAAGATAGTGTTAGTAATGACAAGGTCATTTATTGAGTAAAAGGATGCCATTGGAATTGGCCTTGCCCACTTCTTCCTTCCCAATGGTGCCTTTACACATGTTAAAGTAACGGCCAACTCTCACATTATTTTTTCCTCCCAAGGTTCCCCGCCATACACACACACTGATGCTTACCAGGCTGCCAGCTGGCCAGGTACTGCCTAAGCTCTGAGGGGCCTGATACTTTTTTCCTCTGGAACTTCCTCCCACCCCCATGCACTACCACTGGCAGAAGCAGCAAGTTAGTCTGGATGGCTGTGGAACTGTGGCCACCAGGTACTTCAGGGCGGCAGCACTAGCTCTGCCAGACATCCCCAGGTGGCAAGGTGCTGTGCTTGGCCCTGCTGTGCCCTGGTGTCCTCCTCACCCTGACTCAGGAGGGACCACTCCATTCTGGGATGCTGGAGGACTTCAACATGGGCAGAATAGCTATGGAAAGTGGCCATAACTTAATGGAACAGAAGCAAAATTAGGAGGATTAAAGATAATCCTGCTCTGGAGTGGTGTAACTTTAAGACAAATAATGAGTGCTTTCAGCCACTTAAAGGTGTTAACATGTAGCCAATCCAGGGGTTAAGAGCTTCAGAAGCCCCCTAAATTTACCATGTAACAGGGCCTTAAATGTCAACATCTCTAGACAAGTTACAGTTTACTTCTCCTTTCACACTAGCCCACCTCTTCTATGAAGTGCATTATGGCTGAAGACATGGCTTAACCCAGCCCCTTAGCCTTATTCACTTAACTCAGGGGCAGGCAAAATGCGGCCTGCCAGGCTATTCTATCCAGCCTGTGAGGTCCCTAAAAAATTTAGAAAATTAATATTTATCTGCCCCTGGCTGCCTATCACGAGGCCCTCGATGGCTTGCCATAACTCTGTAAGTGGCCCTCCGCCCAAAATAATTGCCCACCCCTGACTTAGCTGTTCTTGGAAGGTGAATCCAGAGGGTAGGGCTTGCATATTATACTAGGCTTAGACACAAGACTCCAACAGATCTTATACGGTCCCACCAGGGGACAGGGTCCTCTGCCCCCTTCACTCCAGTTAACTTCCTCAGGTCTGCTTTGAGGACTCACTTTTATTTTAGCTATTTTCTTCTTTGTAATATTCTGCACAAAGCAGAGGTAAGAACTTGGAAAATGGCACGATTACATTCTCTACACCCAGAGTCAGCCACTAGATGACACTACTAAACTGTTTATTGGTATGTTTGCATGACTTAACAATACCCTACCACACCCTAAAGATATAAAACTGAGACTGTTATCTGGAGAGGAAGAAAAGAAACAGTCTGTTTTAAAGGAAATTATTTATTAAATTATAAAGGGGAAGGGGAAACAAAGCCTCTAATCGCTCAGATTTTTCTACCAACATTTAAAAAAACACCCTCTTTCTCAGGATGTACAGTTTATCTACAATTCCTTTGGTTTACAAAGGAAAAGATCAGCAATATAAAAACAGAAATACAAAAAGGTACATGAGTGCCAAAAGTCCCAAGAGACAGGCTGAAATTGGTGGTAAACACTGAGGCCTACAGACAGAGTAGGGAAACCCTCCCCTGGTAAGCCAGACACCCTAGAGGTAGGTTAGCCCACAGTGAAGTCCCTGGAAGAGCCGGGGAAGCCAGACTGACATGCTAATTGAACTAATGGGGCCACAGTAGCAAAGCTGGAAGTTTGGTGCTGTTCGGGGGTCAATGAAACAAAGAGGCTCAGAGCAATGTGTGTCATTATGTAGAGTAGCTGTAATTTCAGAAGGGTAATGGTCAAGTTCACAGCCACCTGGTAATAGATCTTGAGCAATATGTCAGTGTGTGGATATACAGACATGCAAACAATTCCCCCTTGAGTAAAAGGAGGTAAGGCTTTACCATACACAGGCTATTGCACAGACTGAATACCCACTCTCTTCCTCTGCTAAATGGAAGCCCAGCACATAGCGGTTTGGTCCTCAGTTAAAAAAAGGTAAGCTACCTCAGTTAAGATCCTACTTATTGCATGCAGTTATTGGGGGATAAAAGCCCTGTTCCCAGACCCCGCAGTAAACTGCTAGTATAACCATACTCAGAGACACCAGATGCAGAGTGACCATATGTAGCATTTTAACCAGGACAGTATTGGATTTCAGAGGCTGGTCCTGACCAGCTGCTGAGAATTATAATGGACATCCTGGAAACACAGGGCCATGGGGTACAATCTGGCTGGGCATCGGAGCAGTTCAGAGCACCTTGCAGGTGGGCATGCAGCCCCACCCTCACCCCCGCTCTTGCTGCCTGGTAACAGTGCAAGGGGGGACATAATGTCCCGGATTTCTGGGATTTCCATATGGTAAGCCTAACTAGAGGTGTAAATTTAACAGAAGATTAGTTAAACTGTATAAATGCCTGTGTGGACATGCCTGTTCAGTATTAAAGTGGTCTTAATTAGATTTGTTTTCCATTACCTTGGAAATGAATTGAGCTCAATTGAATGAAGGCCATTTTAATTCTAAAGAAGCATGTCTACACAGGGATTTAATGTGGTTTGACTAATTCACTGTAAATTCACATCTTTAATTTTCTTGAGAGCTCCTGTGTAGATGAGTCCTGACTGATATAATCTCTGGCTGTCTCAGCAGAAAGGCAAGAGCAAAGTGCACAGAAATTGGAATATCCTTTCCAGCTCAGTGATGTAAGGCATTAGGTGTTCTGCCATCAAGAGATCATGGGAAAGCTAGCATATATAATGTTCATTTCCATGCTCTTCCATGGACAATATTCGTCCCTCTTTCTCTCCAATATTGACAGTTTAGCAAAAAACATTTCAAGCACTGCAAGACACTAGCCTGAAAAATCCAAAGTTGCTTAAAAAGTACAATGATTTACAAAATAGAAGAAAAGAAAAATTGGGGACTGTGAAGATATAATGCAAAAAAAAAATAAATAATCTACCACAGGAATAAAAAATCTTCCAGCAAAGTTGATCTAATGAGGACCTGAGACTTCTCTTTAAAAAGTCAGTAGTGTGGGCTTTACACCATGAAAAGAAAAATATAAATATCTTTTTTTTTAAATGTTTTTCTTAATTCTCACTTCTAGGGCTGATAGAAACAAAAGGCCTGTCACAAGACACTGTAGAGTATTTTACCTCAGACAGTGGCCCATATCTAATGGTTCAAAACCAGAGAGAAAGCCCTCATCCTTCATCTAGCCAGTTGTAGGGAATAATTGTTTCAGGAAGAAAATAAGGAAATATAAGTGCTGTGGCTGTGACTAACATTGCTGCCAACCTCCCTTTCATTCTTCTACATAATATTTTTATGCATTTTCTTTAACTATTTGCATCAGTGGCTTAGGGAAACTGACTTTATGTTCTATGAACAAGTATATGTTTAATTTTATCTATGTATTAAAACACAAAAGGTTTTGATCAAGGTTCAGTATTCAAAGTATTCTGACACATAAAAGAGTGATGAATGGAAGGGAGGGCAGTGCTTAATTGCTGCATTTTCCCTTTGCATAAGCATGTCACATTCATTTTATGACTAGGATGTATCAGTCTGGGGTCAAGAAACCTGGGAGCTAGAGAAGTTGCAGACTAATACTGGGAAAGTTATTTTATATCTAAAAATATACAAAACAGGGACCTTATATTAGTTTTTTCTACCAAAAAAGATGATGCATGCTGCATAGAGCATTCTTCACTTTCTATTTTGAACCTTCACTTTCTGTTCTGAACCTGGACACAAAAAATGGCACAGTTGCAATGTTGCCATTTTTTTGTGTCTAGGAATGGCTGTGTTTTTCACAGATGATTTAAGAGATAATTGTGTACCAAGTTAGCAGTCATTCCTAAAGTGTGCGAGTCCTTTGCAGTATTTCAATAAAAGGTTCTAGAATAATCAATCATAAATTTATCATCCTTGATCACCCCTCCCCTCAGACATCTCTCTGTCATGTAGATGCGTAAAAGGAAACGGACAAATGGGAATACGTTACAGCAAAAATAACAAGCCCCATGCTTTTTAATAGACCTGGTTATTTGTTTAACAAACACCAAAAGGACCAATAAGAACAAACAACTGATGGATTGGCTGAGAAATAAAAGGAGAGTAATTCCTCCCAGTAAAATCCCTATGAATTACAGTATTCCAATATGGTTTGATGTCCTGTGCCCTACTTAAATGTAGCATAAAAAATGACTTAGAAGAGGGAAAAAAGGCTTATTCATTATAAATGGATATAAAACAGGATAATAAAAATATGTCTGACCAGTGCACGTGAGAAAGGGTGATCCTAGTAATACTCTGCATTTATATACAGCCATGTAGTTCAATGATTTCTAAGTGCCTCACAGACATCAATTAACACCTTACAACACCCCATAGATAAGCTCAGTTCCATAAATGTTCCTCATGCAGCTGATAGACAAACTGAAACAGAGAGCACCAAGAATGCAACCGCAAGCTCCTGAATCCAGCTCTCATGGCCTAACAACTGCACCCCATTTTCTCCATGTTGTTGCAATACAGGAAGTGAATTCTCAACCCATGTATATATAGAGAGATAGTGAAGACCACTCACTGACATTCCTCATCTTATCAAGCCCCATTTCCAGCAACTTACTTCATTCAAAAACAGCCGTGTAAAGTTTTGATACTCTTCACTACTTGCATTGCTAAAGCCTTGAACATATTCCATACTTGTTAGTCTTACTGTTCCATTAAGTTTTTGAGCAGCTGCAAAATTAAAAGAAAGTTATTGAGAAGAATTATTTCACAGATTGAGATTCATGAACCACTGGCAGCCTAGAGAGGGTTCTCTGATCACATGGTCTTGGTTCTGCTCATAGGACATGGACAGGCAGTCTATCTGAGCACCAAGAATTTCAAGCAGGAAGCTCTACTGCCCTTTAAAGAGTAGGAGGGAGCCAAAGTAGTATTAAAAGGTCAGGAGAAGGTGCCAGGGCTTAAGCAGTGTAGCACTGTCCAAATTCCTTGTAGGAAGGTCCCTGCAGGGCACTCTGACAGCTTGTTGCTTGGCAAGCCATTAGCGAGCCAGTGCACTCTTCCTTTCTCCCTTGGTGGGGTGGGAGGGAAAGCAAAGGACTGTAAGCTAACAGGAGTCCTAGGGACCCTGAGACAAATGTTACAAACATTATATGCCATACTAGAAAACTACTTTCTCTGGAGGTGTTGTTGATGGGAAATGCTAGCATTTTTTCATGGGAGAGCTAGCCTCCTTCCATGATGAAAAGCCCTTAATGCCTGTATGCTAGCTTTTTGTTCCAGGAAACAGGCATTTTACCTGGCACAAATATAATGCCTGTCCATGGCCATAGTTTCCAGCTGCTGTCACATCAAGGCAAATTAAAAACACATTAAATGAATGTCCTACTATTATTTTTTCACATAAGCTATTGGTGTAATTGCTTGAGGGAAGTCATATGACCATGGCTGGGAAAGGAAGTGCTCCCAATGATATGATTGCATCAACAGAATCATTTCAGTACCAAGCTTCAGTGCTGACTTTATAATACTGTCACAACTGGATTCCCTGTCAGTCCACTTTTTTTAAACAAGCCCCTACCCAGACCTCTCTTAAATGTCAGCTTGCATTATAGATTTCAACAGCAGTAAAGTCCAATTACAAACTTGTTTCTAAATAAAATTACCGGTCTTTACTTTCTGATGTGCTGATTTACTTTCCTTCATACAAACTTCCGTCCTGATTTCGACTGTGTATAAGACCCCAAGTTCCAGTCCTGTCACTGTCAAGTGTCTGCTGCGAGTTTTAGTTTCCCATATCAGCTGATCTTCCCGAAGCAGTAGAAATCGGAAAACAAGATTCTGCGTAGATTCTGTGGACCATGCTGCATGAAAGCTGGTGCTACTCACGTTGGAGAGAATAATCCTTTGAGCTGGGGCAGGTACTGGGAAGAAAAGAGAACCACAACCCATCAAACTTTTTGGTGGGAAAACTATCATCTCAGTTTAAAATCAGCTCTCAAAGTAGACTTGTTCCATCCTGCAGTGGAGAGGAATGCATCTAAATCTAAATGGTAGATCAGTGGAGCTTAAAGACTCTTGCTCTACATGGTTCTTCCATTTCTCATGAACCTCCAGAAGAGACTCTCAAGAAATCAGCCTTGTTAAAAGCATTGGTTATGAAAAGAGTAAAGCAGTGATTCCCAAAGGGTATGCTGCAGCACACTAGTATGCCACAGGAATGAAGGCAGTGTGCCACAAGATCCTGTTAAGGGTAAATGCTTTCCTCCCCTGCCTGGCACCCTATGCCTGCCCCAGCTACTCCAGCAGCACCTGTGACTGCACATGTGACTGCTGCTGTTGCCTTCCCCCACACTTCCCGGCCCCCAAAATGGCCCCTGTGCCAGCCTTCCCCATGCTCCCAGCCATTGGTCCTGCTACAGGCAGGCATGTGGATGCCCTTAGCCCCTGAGGTACAGACCAGGGGTTGGGAGGTACAGTCAGCAGAAAGAGTAGGGTACACCAGGGTGAGGCCCTGACCCAGCCACCCATAAGTGGTACCAGCTACGGCAGCAACGTTTTTGAGCCTCAAGGCCCCCATCCAGATCTTTTCTGAATGTAAATCTATTTCAGTGCTTTTCAACTGGGGTGCTGCAAAATTCAGAGAAGTGTATGCCATCTTGTCTACTGTTACAGGCTATGCATGGTGAGTAAGAAGAGGGTAAGACTGGCTGAGTTCCAGGGCAAGTTGTCCATCACTGGGCACAGCTACATGAGAGCTTTATCACAGAGCTGACTAATTAGCCTCCATAGCCGATCACAAAGTGGCCACTTCCACTCCCTGGCTGGTGCTCACAGGGGGGGCACCTGTGCTCCTGCCTGCCACCCCACCCGTCACCTAAACGGTGAGTGTGGCCTGTCAGGGGGTGCACCTGCACTCTCAGAAGATGCATATGCACCCCTGTGCACCCCCTACATATTGCCTCTGGGTCCAGTCCACAGAGAAAAGATTTTAGGAGGGCAAACTTCAACGAGCTAAGGAGGATAGTTGGAGAAGAGCTGAGGTCCTGGAGGGGAGGGGAGCCAGGTGTCCAAGGAGAGTGGTCGCTCCTTAAGGAGACAATCCTCCAAGCCCAAAGGAAGGTAATCCCAATGAGGATCAAAGGGAGCAAGAGAGCACACAAGCCTCCATGGCTCACCAAAACCACCCGGGAATATCTCCTTGCTAAAAAGGAGGCTTACACCCAATGGAAAGAAGGGGTCATCACCAGGGAGGGCTATTCTCCAGTTGCTTGGGGATGTAGGGGGGTAGTTAGGAAGGCCAAGGCAGAGATGGAACTGGGACTAGCTTCCCAGATTAAGGGCAATAAGAAGTCCTTTTTT